AATGTGTAGTTAGAAGAAGGACAGTAATAATATCTAAGGAAAAGTAAAAACAAGGTAATCACGAATATACATGTAATATTCTCTGCCCCCTATTTAGTGCCTAGTTGCAAGAAGAAAAATTTTAAAAAATAGTAAGGAGAAGTAGGAACACGGTTATCAAGAATATTCATGTAATAATCCCCCCTACCTACTGTCTGCTTACAAGAAGTAATATTCTCTGCCCCCATCCCTATTTAGTGTCCAGTTACAAGAGGAACAATTATTAAATAGTATCTAAGGAAAGGTAGGAACATGCATGGTAGTCAAGAATATATATGTCACATGGGAGATTGGAATCCAGGGGGATCCGGAATCCTTCAAGGGGAGATTGGAATCCCTATCTCCCTTTGGAGAATCTGGAATCCTCCTAGGGGAGATAGGGCTTCCAATCTCCCTTAGGGGAGACTGGAATTCAAGATTTTTTGGTAAAAAAATGGGATCTTAATATCTGAATTCTAATCTCTGCTAGGAGGATTCCAGATTCTACTAGGGGAGATAGGGATTCCAATTTGTCCTAGGACAAGTGGGGATTCTCTAATTTTAAAAGTAGAATCTCTAATTTTAAAAGGAGAAATTCTGATTGCATCAAAATGCTTGGGAAAATAGACTGAGTTATTTCGCACCTAAACTTTCAATCAATTTCAGCATAGGTACATGTAAATGAAATTGTAAATCAGACTCAGATATTTGCATCAGGCCATTGTGAGATGACTCAAAAACCAGTTTTTCCAGTTTGTTAGTGACTTGGGATTGTTTCCCCCTACCAAGCCAGTCAAAGTTAGCCTGGGTGCCATCCGATTTGTAACGTGGCACCCAGGCTAAGTCAAAGTGACAATCGATATCTAGTAATTCACCTACAATTATAGTAATAGGCTTGCTATGCTGAAATTGATTGAAAGTTTCGGTGTGAAATGATTCAATCTATGAGTTCTAGTATTTCTACTACTAAATTGGGATCTGAATATCAGGATTCCAGTTTCCCCTAGGGGAGATTGGGATTCCTACCTCCCCTAGTAGGATTCCAGATTCTTCTAGCGAAGATGGGGATTCCAATCTCCCCTAGGAGGATTCCGGATCCCCCTGGATTCTCCCCTGTGACATATGTGTTATATTCTCTCTCTGTCTCCCTGTCTAGTTATAAGAAGTAGTATTTTCTGCCCCCCCCCCCCATCTAGTGTCCAGTTATAAGAAGAAAATTTAAAGATAGTATGTAAGGAAAAATAGAAACACCGTAAATATGAATATACATGTAACATTCTCTGTCCCCCTATCTAATGTGTAGTTACAGGAAGAAGAATAACAGTATGTAAGGAAAAGTAGGAATATGGTAATCACGAATATACATGTAATATTCCCTCCCCATCTATTGTCTAGGTACATGAAGGACATTAATACTTTGTAAGGTAAATTAGGAACATGGTAATCTACGACCTTGATTTATCCGGAAGACTTCGCACTTATAGTGCATCCTAAATACGTGACTGCTAATGTTTTGGATTTTATGATTTGAATTGAAAATATTGTCATGTTCGTGAACAGTGAGCCGCATTTCGCAAGTTACTGCGTACCTTCCAGGGTGAGCCGGCTGCAGTTCAGTTTACCTCTGCAGGTGGCCATATGAAAGAGGTCGTCAGAATATTAAAAGAAAAAAAAAACTTTTTTTGGGGGGGGGTAGTTGCTTTGTAGATTAAATCGTAAAATTTCAATTATTTTCTAGTTGGCCGTGTTCACCTTCGGGTGCTTCACTGTTAATGTAGAAACCTACATATTTAACGAAAACTGTGTTCTGCTATCTTCTGGTCCGGAAACGTCAATGTACAATAAGGTAACTGCCGCCGCGCCGCAGCGTACCTTCGAAGCTGGTGTGTTACGCCTATCCATCCATATATTTAAATCCATATATAGTATCCATCTATCCATAGATATACATTTTATAGATTCTTTTATATATATTAACGACTAACAGGACCTCCGACGGACATATTAATACCTTTGAATACATTTTACGTGACTAAAAAGGGTTTCACCTCCTTACCTTGCATTCTTTTTCTTTGACTTTCTCCACGTACTTGATGCGGTGCTGTAGTGTTTCTCTGCCGTCTGAATCTTCACAGCGGTCCAGCGCCGCTTGGTAAAGACCGGCTGATTTTGTGAACGCTTCCTCGTTCTTGCCAACCATTCCCTTCTCTAGGTACAGATCTCCAAGACTCTTCAACGATTCTATCTTTAGAAGTTCATTTCTTTCGATGATTCCATTTACGTAGGAGTTTGTATAACCTCCAATCAGTGGGGTTGTTCCATACCCTTTAAATTTGGTTTTTACTTTGTTTAGGGTCGTCCACACAGCCGATGTGCTGTTGCCTGAATTACTTAAAGGTACTTTTACCGTACGGTGATGAAGAGCCAGTTTCTCAGCATATCTGATGCGATGTTGAACAACTTCTTTCTCCTCGAGACTGGTGTAATACCGTAAAACTTCTGTGTACAACGAGCGCGCCTTGTTGAAATTCTCTGCTTCACCAGTGCTCTTGTTTGCTTTGTGCAGGTACACATCTCCCAGACTTTTTAAAGCTTCGCGCTCCAAAATCTCATTTTGACTACTTATAGCGTGAACCAACTTCCGTCCGTATCCCCTCTCTACAACATCCAGATCAGAACCACTTTTAAAGATAAAATCTAGTTCCTGAAGTTCTTCCGCCGCTGTAGACAGCTTAGTGTTCGACATGTTTGTTCCCCTTAACAACGTGTATATCTTTACAACAAGTATATCTTTGCTTATATAATTAAAATCTGTTCTTTGATCTTCTCTGTGTTCCAAGTAAGATTTTGAAGTTCTTTTCCACTAGTGTCCTCGCATCACCCAGTGTCTTAGTATTCCGTTATACCAATGAAGTTAGACTTGGTCCTGAATAGGAATGAATTAAATTGGAACTGGAAAGGTCACACTGTACGCACTTATTTGCCTGTTGGACACGTCTGGATTCATTGACCTGAGAAAGAATAAGAATTGCACGAATCAGAGATGAACGTTGTCTGTAAATGTACATTATACAATGCAATAACTGAACTGATTACACTGTGATATTTATATGATTATCACAATGTCTTACACACTGACAGGTGTGCCTCATGTGTGCTGTACTAGTGCCAACCATAAATGTCAAAACTGGATCTGGGATAATTGCACAAATATGTTGAAGAAGGGTGTCACAATCACATGAAGATTTTTTTGAAAATATCCCCATTTTTGGTGAAGATATATAACATAACGCCCTTAACGTTGTACCTAACTATTTCAACACTACTAAAACAGCATGATATCAGGCTGCTGCTATACTTAAAGAGTTAGCCTGAGCGGGCACAGAACTACAAACAGCATCTCACTGTCCAGAACTGTGCCTGGAAGTCATGTCAATCATGGTTAACCACGCCCCAAGCACGGAAGGGGACAAGGCCATTGTGTGTCCATATATGTGCTCAGTCCCCGCGTGTCACAGAACGACTAGATTTGCCCCAGGCACTGTTCGGGACACGCGCCGAGTTGACGATCGAAAACTTTATTGCGTGTGATTTAAGTTTGATCAGAAAAAAAGCGTCCCTCCACTCCTGAAAAAAAAACGACCGATCTCGGAACGCTTGCAAGGAGGATAGACAATACTTGGAATGGTACGGCAAGTGGATCGGCGGGTCGGTGTTTACCGGGTAGCGATAGGTGGCAGGGGATTGCACTCGAGACGTTTGACAACAATCTGGCGTGTGGGCGATATGCTTGGGTAGAAAATAGCGCTTTCATACTATTTGCTTATGACCCATGACCTCCTACTTCCTTCTCCGGCGACGGATCACTTCAGTCAGACATAGGGAAATCTGTTTTGGACCCCAAAACTCACTAGCGTGCTGTATCGTATTACACCCTGCCATGCAACAGTAGACTAGAAATGTAACGTTATCCCTTTCTATCCTTATACCCTGCCACCCCCAGGCTTTGAAAATTTTTACTGAGATATACCATACTTGGTTCGGTATTATTGTCATTATTACCACGTCTTGTATTACCCCTTTATATAACAATTAGCATTAGAATTAAGGGCCAAGTCACTTTTATCGCAGGGTCGTCGTCTGCAAACTGGGGGCATTGGTGGGGTAGTCATACATGTGTCCTGTAAAACCCAGGTGTCACTCTAGTATCTACTCTACACGGACAAGACTGTCTTATATATAGTACTGTCTGCTTGTATTAACATTATACGGCACTTAACTAGTGTAAGACCCCAAAGACATCCCCCCAGTAGAATAGGACAGTCCAGTGACCTACAGAGGTCATCCCAGGGAACCGGCTTAAACATCCCAGACAGAGGGAAATCTGTTTTGGACCCCAAAACTCACTAGCGTCCTGTATCGTAATTCGTATTCACCCTGCCATACACCAGTAGACTAGAAATGTAACGTTACCTCATTTCTTTTCTTATACCCTGCCACCCCGGGCTTTGAAAATGTTCACTGAGATATACCATACTTGGTTCGGTATTATTGCCATTATCCCCAGGTCTTGTATAACAATTAACATTAGAGTTAAGGGCCATGTCACTTTCATCGTAGGGTCGTCGTTCAATTACAAACTGGGGGCATTGGTGGGATAGTCACACATGTGTCCTGTAAAACCCAGGTGTTACTCTACTCTACACGGAAAAGACTGTCTTATATGAAGTATAAGTTCACAGTTCAACCTCTCTCGCTCCGAGCTTCTCACCTGTTACAAGACTTTCGTCCGTCCTACTGTCGAATACGCTGCACCGGCTTGGCACGCAGGTCTAACTGCACAACAACGCGGAAGGATTGAAACTATTCAAAAACGGGCCTGCCGGACAATTCTTGGCTCCGATTATACCAGCTACACTGAGGCATGCCGGGCACTTGTCTTACCAACCCTAGACAGTCGCCGCCGTGACTTGTGTTTTAAGTTTGCCAGACAACTTGTGACATCTGTAAAATTCAGAAACTGGCTCCCACCTCTCCGTGGCGAGGTTAGCGGCAGACATACGAGAACTTCTCAGCTCATAGACACTATCACAACTAGGACTGACAGATACAAAAAAGCCCAATCCCTGACATGGTATCCCTCCTAAATATGTAATAGCACCACAAGTACCACTGACCACTACCTTATTGTGACACAGGAATTAATTTACGACGATGATTAATTCATTTATTTATTACGACTAATATGTTAAAACTTAAGTGATACATAGTTTGTGCGATTGTAAGATTGTAAATACCAGTACCAAAGTGACTGCATATTAATATGTAGATTCCGATATGATTTCAATTTGCATTTCTCTACTATTAATAACTTATATTGTAAACAACTTGATCAGAATTCAGCCCTGTATGTCAAGGCTGCGAGATATGTTGTAAATATGTTGATACAAACAAATAAACCAATTATATAAGTACTGTCTGCTTGTATTGACATTATACCGGCACTAAACTAGTGTAAGACCCCAAAGACACCCCCAGTAGAATAGGACAGTCCAGTGACCCACAGAGTTCACCTTACGGAACCGGGGGAACCGGTTTAAACTGGATGAGTCCACCACATGTTCTACTCTGGAATACACTGTAAAAGTACACTTCTCGTCTCCTCTCTTTATTCCCTAAAACCTGGGGTTGGGGACAGGGATGGCTCGTTACACTAGGTACTAAGACCTAATAACTACTACCATGGAGGTAAAAAATCTCCTTTTACCTCCATGCTACTACTAAAAACGTGACCCGAATCGCCCAGATAAGGCAATGTGGCGTAAGGTATAGAATACCGCGCCACCGACCCTACCTCGGGCGGATGAGATAAGGACACATACTAGTACAACTGCTCTTGAGAGACCTTCGTTTTCGACTGAACAAGTACAAAGACCGTGTGAAAATGCAATAATTTGACACAAAAGCTAGACGTAAAACTTACTCATATTAGTCCCCGATGGCTTAGTACTGCAGTTAGTATTTGTGAAAGAAAAAGTTCCCTGGTGTAGCTGCACATTTATGATAGCCAGGGATAAATGTAGGTGAAACCAAGGTGAATTTCTATCATTAGAACCGCAATACTGGGGGAGGGGGGCAGACTAACAAATCCTTGTCACGAGAAGTACATGCGACCCCCGCTGAGTTCAGTTTTGTCAGCTGTGTCACTGTTGGTAAAGCGTTGATTACGATCGGTAGTATTAAATAATATATTTAAAAACTCACCTTTTACCTCTAATCAGACAGGAAAAAAATCTCATTTCAGCTCACGACTGGCTACATCGTCACCGGCGACTCAAAAAGCGGAAGTCCCGACGTGACTCACCTGGGATGTACCATTAGCCCGCAGGGGTAAAAATAGACTTCTTGTTTACCTGCTACTCTATTTATAACGAATGAGTTGCCACTGGTCACTTGGTGCTTTTGATGCTCGTCGGGGTCAATATACAGGTACATGTATAGTGCCTGATTAAGAGCAAGAGCGAGTCGCATGGTGTGTTTATACAGATTCAGTCGTTTGGGCGTGGGTATCCCACGGTTAACCGGTAGTTCTGGAACATTCCATTGACCCTACGGGAATAGGCAAGGTAAACCTTCTTTTCTGGGGTAGATTGTTAGTCGATAAAAATTTTGTTCGTGTTCCATAAGAAAGTGTGAAACCTACGCAAACAATGCAAGCGTAAATTGATCTTTATTGCAACTGACAACCACCTGTTTCTAGCAATGGATTTCTTGTAGATAAGTTGACAATATCATTATTGTAGGAATGACAGTTTGAAATCATAGATGATCAGGCATGACTTGACATAAATTAAAGTAAAAGATCAGCGGATTTTTATTTATAATTTTTTTTCATGTTCAACATGATTAGAGTGTTTTTATAGAAAGCAAAATATCTCCGAAAAGACTTTTGCATTGGATTTAAATATTTAATTGAAGCGTATTTTATTAATATAGTGTAACTGCTGGATGAGATCCTAAGGCCTATGAAATAAACAAAAAAATGGGTTTCGTTTTTCAGTCCTGAAAATTTAAAAAGATGGGGTCACAAGGTAGTGAATTTTTCTGCCTTTTTTTGACATTGGCTACAGATTCAACTAGTAGAATACATTTAAGTAAAATAAAACGTGCATTAAGACACAAATTTCAATATCAATGTCAGATTTCAGTTTTCATTTATAGGTGTCACCCACAAAAAGCTTCACCAATAAGAAGGCAAGCTAGGGTCGACATTTTTATTTTCTAGGGTTGGTCTGGAAACAGAAAGCACAACATTTTGTTTCCTATGCCTGATTCCGCTGCAGTTTGAAGCGCAGTGTACAGATCTGCATGGGCTGAAGAGAGACTGTGGTCGTCCCGGCGTCCCAGCAGCGGAGAGCTTCAGACTTCGTCTGTCCGCTTTCTGTGGAGTTAAAAAAAGAAATCGAAATTTACATGTTTTGGTTTTAAAGGAAAACCAGTCTTTCGGTAGTGGTATAAAGAAGCTAAGGGCGGACGTTTGCATACAACATTTCTAAGCTCCCGCCACACATTCAGAACCCCCAGAGAACACTAGTCAAATAAGAGAGCATTCTTACAATATATAGACAGTGCTTTCTTGTTGCTAATAATCAAATTGGATTGAAGTTAACTTCGAGTTAAATTTGACATCCACGTCTGGAGCTACTCACAAACACCGGTCAACTACCTGTTAAACGACCCGTCCACACCCGGATGTTTTAAATGTTTTAAACATTATACTTATACATATTTCTGACATAATTTTACCTATACTTTACGATATAAGCCCATGAAGATGTAAGTTTGCTGATATAACAATAAGGGAATTAGACCGAAATTAAACTCGATGTCCAGATGGAGGTTGTTCATTGGGGTCGTGTGGCGCAGTCGGTAGCGCGTTTGGCTCACACCCAAGAGGTCGCGAGTTCGAATCCTGCCTATCTTATGCCGTTGAGAAAGGCGCTTTACACGACTTTCATTACTTCACTCAGGTGGAAATGAGTACCTAGCTTCGGTTAGGGACGTCCCTCGGATATGACGTTAAATGGAGGTACCATGTTTGGGGAGAGCCACACCCCACACACGTTAAAGAACCCACCGCACTTATAAAACTGGTGTGTGTTACGCCTAAAGGCGGTTTACTGGTTATGCGAAACAACCAAACAAACAAAAAACACACAAGCTGACCTGTGTTCCACGTTAGCCGCTGCAGGTTGGCGGCAGGGAAGTTAGCGCCCAAAGTCAGCTCCTCCACCGAGTCAACATCCACCTCAAACGTCTTGAACAGACCCTAAAGAGGACACGGAAGAATAACATGGAATCATGAATTTAAATTAGAGCATCTTTAATTGAAACGTGTCTTCGCATTGTCTGATTCTTGAAGAAAAGGAGGGCTGAGGTCTTCATGTACAATGAAGCACACACAATCACCATCCCTGTATCTTTTCCCTTTAATAAGAATTTGCGTTAGGTAAGCTTTTGTACATGCATTTCTGATTGTTTTTATATATTTTTTTTTATTCTAGGGGATGTTTTATTTTGTAAAGTTAAATAATCATATGCTCTGTTAATTCTTACTCAAACACATTCATACATACATAAGTCTTAATCCCTGTTGTATTAAAATTGCAACATGATGTAACCCAACACTATAGTTACCATGGTGACAGACGTCTTGTTCGGGGCATTTACATTGGACAAGAAGAGGAAACAGAGCAAGAAAACAAAATGTTTTCCTTCGGTAAACACAACAACATTCTGTCGGTCAGCAAGGCAGTAGCATATTCATGCTAAAATGATCGATTTACGATTTCATTTTTTTTTGTGGTTCCTTTTCTCAAACGTTTATCATTTAACCCTACCTAGACCGGGGGGGGGGGGTAAAAGTGCCCGCGGCAACTTTGATGTCACCTAGCGTCTGAACGGCTAGCCGTAGAACGGCCAAACTTGGTGACTTTTCCTAGAATATTGTTGGCAACAATTCTCTATCATTGGAATAAGATAATAATTTTTTGTGTTGCCATGGCAACGGGTTTCTGACAGGCATTTTTTGCTAAATTTAGTACTTTTTGTTTCAACAATAGAATTTTATGGGTTTTATGTCAAGTTACTCATGGTTTCTAATATCAATAACATCCCATATAATTTTATGTAAATTTTATCATTAAATATGCATAATTTATGCTAATTTGATGACGTCATTGGCCAAAATCCAAAATGGCGGACCGTATCATTAGAACAGGTATATACAGGTTATTTTCATTAAAATTTCATCAATACTTCCATTTCTTTTTCCAAAAAAGGTTTAAATGAAGGTCTTTAGTATGTTTACATTAGGCTTTATCATGAAAAAAAACTATTTTTGAAAATTCAAGATTGATGACCCAAGATGGCGGATATCTTAAATATGCATGACGTCATTTTTTGACGTCACCGGTGTTGCTGTGGGCAACATAAGACTTAGTACACCATAATATTCTGTCATAAACACTTTTGGTACAGTTATGTTGAATACCATTTAGTTTTCAGGGAAAAACCTATTTAGACGGTTTTTGCCAATAAAATCCCATTAATGACGTCATAATGACGTCATATTACGTCATAACGACATAAAAATTGTAGATATGATAAATTTTCACTAGTACACCATTCTTTAAAAATTTGGTGGACATACGACATACCGTTCGCGAGTTCATGGGGGGGATCAAAAGAGCCCCCCCCCCCGGTCCCCCCATGTCAAAAAAAGCCCGGTCTAGGTAGGGTTAAAGGCATCCAGTGCAGTTTTTAGGGCTTAGAAACCAAAGGCAATGTTCTAGTCACTTAAATTCAATATAAGTTGAAACAACACTGTCCCAAGGTATATCAACATTCAAGGAGCAAAAATGCACACAATTTTGACGAAAAACGGTTACTTAAAGGACCTGGATTATTTCTAGGGTACCACCCAGAAAATAAAGTATAAAATAAAGTATAATCTTGGGGCTTGCTTTTACAGTTTTACATGCTCAAAGTATTAAATACTGATTCAAAATTGCTCATGTAAAGCAGCATGTGTCAATATCATGCAGACTGCCTTATTTAGAAAATTTCCAGTTTTGCCGCCCTGAAATTTCATTGGATGCCTTTAAATGAATCAACCAACCGGCAAGGAAACGTTCTGAGTAGTGCCACCCTCCGCCTTCTGCAGCTGATTCTCCAGTCTCATCAGCACCGTGTCGTCTTCCCACATCTCCAGAGTCAGCAGGTGGACGCTGGAGGGCAGTTCACGCTTTAAAGCTGTGAACTAAAGCACAGGGGAATAGGAACAATTGCATCACTCTCCAATAAGAGGTTTGGGTTTTGTGGTATTTTTAACGTTTTTTAGGCTTTTAATGGGGTTTCTGTTTTGCACTGGAATTTTTCTTTCACCCGACCCAACCTCTGCCGGCAGTCGGAAGCGATATAAACCTAATCACTTCGACATCATTACGGTCATTCTACAAGTAGGTGCGAACCGGACGCATAGATAAGCACAGTCAGCAGGAGGCATGTGGCCGAATGAATATGTTTTTGATTAGCTGGATGTGTTATAATCTATCACAGTAAAATAATTATCGCTAATGTCAATTTGATGGTTCCCGGGGAGGAGCACTGTCACGTTTCATGAATAGGTTTGCCCCGCCCCGGGGTGAGTGCCGGCAGAGGTTGGTTGGGTGAAAGAAAAATACCATTGCAAAAAAGAAACCCCGATAAAAAAGTCTAAAAACACGCCAGAAATAACCCCAAATTCTAACCTCTGCTTGGAGAGTACAATTGCATCAGATACAACGTATAGCACATAACATTTATAACTGTAAAATATTTCTACTAGCGTACTAATCTAACTCCAACATTCAATACACTTATACGATATGACGGGACACTACAGTCCTCACTGTTTCTCTTTTGTATAGAATTATGTATATATTGAACTACATAAACATATACAGAGTATAGAAGCATGTTGAAAATGTCTATACTTGCCACAGGTAGCGTTTTTTTGTCCTTACATGACATTTTTAGCTTTTTTTTCATTTCTTTGTTATGGCAATGACACATTACTAAACAACGTTGTTTTTACATACAGGTATAAAAGGCAACTGCTGGGGTATCCACAGAGACTGGTCTGACTGTGAATAATGTGAACCGTGATGTTTCGTGGCGAAGAGACAAGGGTATAGGTTAGGATTTTAGAGCAACACTTTTGGACCAGGCTTCGAATCCGTGCTTGTGCTTTTTTTTCATTAATTACAATTCTACACGGCCCTCCCTGAATTTAGAATATTGCTTTTTATAGTATATATTACGGTTTAGTTACTGGACCTAAAAAAATTATGGTACGCTCGGATATGGCATTGGCCATTTAACGAAATGGCATCGGCCGTTTCAAATGGCATCGAACGTTTACGAGACGGAAAATTGCCGCGGCGAGAGCGCCGTCATGTGGAATGGGGGTATAAGTTACTCAAACATTCCTCTACATCTATTTTAATTGATTTTTTCAGCTTTGATTAATTTCCCATCATTTCAGACTACTACCCATACATAGGCGCACTTACGTTTGTGTGGAAGTCTTTCCTGTACTGAGCGGGGCTGATGCTACCGGCCAGACTGAGTAGGATGCTCGGTGCCATGTACAGTTGCTCCCCGAGGGCGCGGTGGAGCTGGCCCGAGCTCTCAGGGGTGTCCAGTAGGAGGTAGTGTTTCCCGCGGACTACCAAACCGTCTCCGAACACTCCTGAAATGCGTGTTACAGGCAATTGAGTTTTATTTTACTTTTTCAACATGAAAAGTCACAGGACCCAGTATCATGGGGCTATACTGGCTGCTAAATATTTTCCTTACTACTAACAGGAATAGAATATGCCTGACAGAGACGAAAACAAATTCCAAAACGAATAACAGCTTAAAGTTTTAGCAGACCAAATGCGAAGACTAGATCATTGTAAATTATAAAATTAACATCGAATGGTAAAAATTCAGTGTCAAATCGTTTTGTATCAACAATGCATGCTAATAGGTAAAATTGAAATATTTCTGTAAATGTTCTGTAACTGTAACTGAATAAATTAAACGTCAAATGCTACAGTTACGCAAGGAGTAGAACAATGTATCGTTCAATGTATTTGCCAAAAACGGCAAAATGACGCAAACTCTTTGGTGCTCAACAGTTACTTGGTATACGTAAAACATGGTAAATACTTCTTTCTACCTTTAGCACTTATTATTTAGAAATCCATATCAGTGGAATATTCCCCTGCTGAAGAGATTGCACTACATTTTGGCACAAAGGTACTAAAAAGAAGGTGGCGCTGCGTAGAGATGTAGCTGCGTTAGGTGAATTGACTTTAAGTACTGTACCTGTCTCATTGAGTGGTTCTCCTACGCCGTACCCATCGTCATAGAGCATGCGCCGATGGACCTACACATTATAACAAAATAACTGTTTTAAAGGTTTTTAAATGTTTAAAAACATTCCGGACGATGTCCGGTGTAACATTGCATTAGTAAAGTTCGACTTACTATTCCAAATTGAATTTAGGCGGTAAGACTGCTGGTGTCGATCCCTACACGATCTTTAGGAATTGTACATGTTGTTAGAAAATATGTATAAATAAATGAAAGAATGGATGGATGGATGGATGAATAAATGGATGAATGAATAAATCTTATAAAAGTGTCCTGCGTCAACACGCCGCCCAGCCCATATGTTTTTAGGATACAGAAATGGCTAACAGAATCAATGAAATCAAATCAAAAAGGAACATAAGTGGTAGATATATAGACATAGATTTGAGATACAATCCAAATATGGCATATTTAAGCTATAAATAATAATAAGTCCCAACCAGAATCGGTAAAATATTTTGGTAGCAACACTAAAAGTGCATATCTTAACGAAAATGGCGTGTACTAACATGATTTGTACTGACAGAAGATCAACCCAGTAGAGAAGCAAAGCAGGTAAATGTGTAATTGTATATTGTGTATGAAATAAGTAGTCAAGCATTTTAGAACACATGGTTTGGGTTAATTTTCGTACCATGAGTTCCAGAGACCCGTTCTTCAGACCACTGCCGCCCTGTGACCGGTCAGTCAGGACAGTCAGCTGTTTGGACTTGTCCTGGGTACAACGGAAGCAACAGAGGGAACCATAAATGATAAAACCACTGCATCTCTGTCGTTCATATATCTCACCCCGGCATATTTTTCAATTCAATTCAATGTATTCAACCAGACAAAACCATACAAAAGCAGGGGAATGCTGATGCACCCCTGAATTGTGTGTTCGATTTTCACAATCCATTGGTTAGAAAAAACAAGACGAGTAAACACAAACACAATATATACAAATATGTACAAACACCACTCAATCTACAACATTACCAGAAAATAGCAGACATGGGTTTTCAATATCAACCAGTATCACTGTCATTGTAAAGTCTTACTGCACAATGTAAAAAAGACTTAACCCTCAAACACCCGAACGGGGTCCATTTGGACCCCAGGCGTATATTTTTATGTGATATTTTACATTTTTTCATTCGAAAAAAAAAAATTCCTCCCGTGACTTTGTCGATAAACATCTTCTACAAGTTCTCCTAAATTTTTTTGGAGATCGGCACAAATTTGTTAAAATAACAACGGAAGTCTTATGTTAGACCATCTGGGGTCCCCAGCCATGTATTTGCACTTTCCTACACACAAAATTGTTCGGATGTCCTCAATATGTCTTTACGGAAGCATTATTGCTTTAATATTATGCAGTTAGCCAAGTAACCTCAACCTCAGGAATTAGGTCATCAGGTTTTCAGAGGTTTGACAATTTGACAATCATATGAGGTCAAAGGTCAACCCCATGTTCATGCCTTCAGGTCTCATCCTATTTTTGCATAAATTATGATGACCTGGAATTTTTTAACACTTAATCATGCCAAAAATATACCTCTTACTATGTTTAACCAATATATGTGCAAAGATTTCTTAAAGAATGCAAAAAAGAATATAAATTTGAAACAAACTAAATGGGGTCCATTTGGACCCCGTTCGGGCATTAACGTCACAAAAAAAAAGTTCGGGTGTTTGAAGGTTAAGCGTAGAGTCCTCTCTTTTGACCATTGGGACTACCGCTAATGTTTATTCTAAATAAAATTTATGAATAAAGTTTCAATATCGAATTGAATGGTATCAGTATGGACTCGATATGCTTGGGGTTTTTATATACACACAAAATAAACACTAAAAGTGATACCTCTGTGAAAGACGAAGGTAATAAAAAAATAACTTCTCAATTTTCGTCGCTACCTTGATGAGTATCCTGCTGTTGACAGGGTAGTAGTTCCCTGCCACCGGTTCAGTCTGGTTCAGTTTCCACGTCAGACGGCGGTCCACTACCCGCTCCAGCATTTCACGGCCGTTAGCATCTGTGTAGAACGTGCTGTAGGATAATAAATGATATTTTTATTATAATAGCACTGATTTTTTTTTAAATTACTTCATAGGTCACCACAAAACAAGACTCATGGGAGCCACTCAAAATGTTTTGGGTTATAATACAGCCAGTAAGGACAGATGTTTGTTGACATTTGACTTGAAAAGTTTATCGTTATACTCATAAGGGAAACAATCACAAGGTAGCTTATTCCAACGTGATGTTGTTCTGGGAAATAAGCTTTCAGCGTTAAACTTTCTCCTAAGAGGTGGTGAATGGAGGAAGAAAGGGTATGATATGATAATAGGGTGATGTGTCTTAATGGAAGAGTTTAGGCCCAAAGATCCCGGGTTTGAATCCTGTCATGACACAAATCCAACCGTTGGAAAATAATTTTTCACGGCTTTCCTTACTCCACCTTTGTGTAAAATGAGAACCTGGATTAGGTTGGGGAGGTACAACGCGAGGTAAGGAGACGGGTGGGCTCCACCTTCCAACAACGTGCCTTTAAAACAGTGAATAATAGTGGTTACCTTTAATTGTTTTAAGTCTTTTATTAGCATAGGCGTTCAGTTGCCTCTGTACACAGCTTTAGGACTAAATTTAACGATTTGTTGTTAACAGCTGGTGTTGTTTTCCTTGGACGATAAAGACTAGTACCATGGTGTATGAGAAGACTCTGAGGTAACAGGCATCGTCAAACAAAATAATAGGGGTTTTGGGCCTTTTGTTCTCAATAAAACTTCAATTACTAATAAAATAGAACCAACGGATTGAGCGAAAAGGTGTTTGAAATCTACCTGTTGGACATAATGTCTGTATCGAAACGAGAGATGATTTCCTTCCCCAGACCGTCCTTGATGGGGATCGGTCCCACCGTCCACTCCAGCTCCACATGGCGCTGTCCGGAGTACAGCCGGACCGCCTGGCTCACCCACGGGCTGAACATCTGCTGTACCTCCTGAACAACCTGCCCGCTTACCTGCCAGGAGACACACGAAAAAAAAGTAGAGCTTAATCTTTCAAAACTAGTTTTATGAGGTTGGTAAAGTCTAGGATACGGTAGTTCAATTACACAACCAAGATAGCAAGTTGACATTTCGGTACGTGTCTGTATTACAGTAAGTGTAAGGCACCTTCCTCAAAGCTTCTGACAAGAGTTCTGCTTCTCGCCGCTATATGTAGCTGATGTAGGTGGCGCTTTTGCGGCAATCCAAAACGTCACTGAGTTTGTACACCCCTCTCCTCATCCCAGTTAATTCCTGATGGCTGCATCTTTTATCCATCGGATCCACCTGTTGTCTCTACCTGTTTCCGTAAAGCGCAACCTAGTACATAGGGTACATCTAGCGGCGAGAAGCAGAACTCCAGCCAGAGGTTCTGAGAAAGGTGTCTGAGAGACACCGAAACGTCAGCAAGGTAAATATATCGGTGGAGCAAAAGAACTACCGTATACTAAGTTAGATCTTTGTTTCAATACACGGTAACTCACGATGAGTTTTCAGTAGCGTGTGTGGTCCAGTAGTTAGCGACGCTGCCTCTGGACTAAGAGATTGGGAGTTCAAATTCCGGATGTTGTTGCGCACCTTACATGCACCCTACTGGAAGGGGTCGAAGTCCCCAGGACGGGACGTTAAGCTGTGGTCACCTTTTAAATGCGCTTGGGGAATTTCCCCGCATAATGAACCTGTAAATACTGGACATACAAACTGTCTTCATTATCACAACCAGTGGAAGACTTTAAGTTCTTGAGAGAGCTAAGATTGGATCGAGATTATTTTCCTTTCCTGTTTTTTAACCAACGGAAAGTCAGTGCAATGATTCAGTTGATGAAAGCTGACGCAATCTACTGAAAATCCATAATTTGTTCCTTTCCACGTAGGAACAAGTTGAAATTGTACAATTGTACATGTAGATTCTACCAACAAATTTTGCTTATACGCAGACTCTCTTACACACACAAACACACACAAAAGCACACACACACACACACACACACACACACACACACACATACACACACATACACACACGTGCAAGAACACAGACACAGGCACACACAGAGGCACGCAGACACACGCACGCACACACATACACGTACACTCACACACACACACACACACACACACACACACACACACATACACACACACACACCATAACACACACGCAAATGAACAAGCAAACAATCGCTACCGCAAACATAACCGCCTCGTCAATACAAAAGGAAGAAGGGTTGTGACTTACCACATTCGTGATGACAGACTTCTCAGGTTGAATAGGAATCGCCTCGGTACTGTTCGGTCTGAAGACGTAGGCTCCAGACTTCCTGCTGCTGGCCTTGTTGTTTCCGGCGCTGGAGTTGTACCAGTAGAACCCTTGGTTCACCTTCAGAGTCACCTTGGTCTCCAGGTTCACCACGCTTTTCAGGAGGCCGGTTTTACCGTCAAACACCACGCTAATGTGCTAAACAGGGAGAGAAAGGTTGCTGGCTTAACCAAAATAATTTGTTTCAGATAGTAGTAGTCCACTGTATTCTGCTGCTGCAGTACCTTTGGCATCCTGCAGCATCAATCAGTCTTTGTTTGAGATCCTGTACAGAAATTGAGAAACTTTTGAACAGAGTCGCATGTTTAGCATGAGTACAAAGAAGTTCCTGCTAATGCTGGGGTCGCATTTCCAAACCGGTAGTCATTTGGAACGCAAAAAAACATGGTATAAAAGGCAACAAAGCACAGAAAGGTTGAAAAATGTCGACAACGGAACAATGGAACTGCTCTTTGCCCAGTTGAGTGTCGACACCTTCGACGGCAGGAGGCGAAAGCTGACGCTCTCTTTTGCGGCTCGCCTCCTAGCGTCGGGTAACGACATTATCAGTCTGCTTTTACGCTCTGATGCCTTCCCCAGAAGTCAGTTCTGGCGTCGGTACTGCCAGTTGGTAAGCAGACCTTAAATAGGCCTTCGCTCAGTTTCTTTTTATTCCTAGACATTGTATTTTTAGCTCTATGTATTTTGTGTTGTCTATGTTGTGTATGGGCTCTGCCTGAATCAAACAATAAATAGATAAAAATATGTACGTATTTTCTTAATAAAAATTGTTGATATGTCGTTAAACGTAACAGCCCGGCCGGGCCCCGGCTAAGAAATGTGACCCCAGCATAAGAACACAGTATACACTTTAGGTTTATTACAACGATTCCATGACACCGTAATGTTTGTGATGTAGAGAATTAGACTTTTAGAATTACATGTAGGCTTTTTAACCTAATTTGATTTTGAGCTTGTGCTCTGCCTTTAATGCAATCATTTTATTTTTCACTAATGCCGGAATCCGTTACTATGTTTCACAATGCTGGGCCGAGGAAAGCAGTCATCTTACTATAGACAAATCGGTAGCCTTCCCAGAACATTGCATTAAACTTTTTTATCGGCTGTATTTTGCTTTTCCAGCCTTTTGTCCTAATTACCTCATTGTGTATTTCTTGGTCCTCACCCAAAGAGCGTGGTCGCGACGTCATCATCTCATTTTTCGGCAGTTTTTCTGTACAAAGGAAAACATAAAACATGTGCTGGAAAAAAGTAGAGACAATTTTGTCTGTCCTTTGCTTTACGAGCTAAATTATATAAATTAAGTAAATACCTGATGATATACATGTAAGTATTAACAATTAAGCCTGAAGCATAAGCCGAAGCTGAACCTGCTAAAACGTAGTTAAAAAGGGGTACGAACAGTTGTTGGTGTTTGTTTTGTAAGATTGGAAACGAATTTTTCCAGGTAAACAGTTAAAGTATCACACAATATGTGATAGCACAAAACTGTGGGAAAATGGATAAACATATGTTGAAATGGGGTCCACTATATGGTAAATTGTAAGACTGGTGTATTGTTTGCAAAATGTCTCTGTTTTTTTTTTTCTTGTATGTGAACATGTCCTTTGCCATTATTCTTTGAAATTACAATTAAGATTATTTGGAAAAAAACAGTTCAAGTAAAATTCACCCCTGGAAATGTTGCTGGACTGGCTGACAAAGTATGTACTGAAACCTAGCGCAGGCGCAGTCACGGCAAAGACAAGTTCGTGCGTGGCTTTTCCGCGTTTTCCTCTGATTTCCTCAATAGGGGCTGTACTACTCACCTCCATGGAGCTAGCTCCATGGAGCTAGCTCCATGGAGGTAAGTACTTCAGCCCTGAGGCAGATTTTTTCCAGCTCCATGGAGCTAGCTCTACGCACTATGAATGCATATGCCTGGTTCACGTCACCTTCAAGAAAAATGCATATACATGGTTCACGTCACTTCAAGAAAACAAACCAGCGCTATAAATGTCTTGAGAAATAAACAGCCACGTGCACAAAGAACACACATGGTTCACGTCACCTACAATGAAGAAATCATGCTCTAGAATATATCGTGTTTAAACTTGATACGGCCCCACGCACTGAGAACGATACATGTACACACAGTGCCGGTCTTCTCAGAGGCTGTTTTGCCCACAGAGCTAGCTCCACGCACTTTGAATGCATATACATGTTTCACGTCACCTTCAAGACAAATACATAAACGTGCTTCCCGTTGCCTTAAAAAAATGCCACGCCCCAGAAAATGGTTAGATCGGTGTATTGCTATTTGTAAATCTTGGATAATCGTGTTTGGTGGTGTTCTATGCGGCCCCACACACTGAGAACGATACATGTACACACAGTGCCGGTCTTGTCGAGGCTGTTTTGCTAGCTCCACGCACTTTGAATGCATATACATGTTTCACGTCACCTTCAAGATAAATACATAAACGTGCTTCCCGTTGCCTTAAAAAAATGCCACGCTCCAGAAAATGGTATAGAAAATTGTTTGCATCGGTTTACTAGTATTGGTATTTATAAATCTTGGATGATCGTGTTTGATACTAGTTATGTTACGGCAAGGCTGTCCTTGTGTATTGATTGACTATATACACTATACTAAATTTCGTGACGCAAACCATGTGTTGGAATTCATACTGCGTTTATTTGAGCTCTCCAGTTTAAAAGTTGTCGGGACCTCATCCTGACCACGACCTTGATGTCACCTAATGACCTATGTCAACGATTGGTACAGAGATGCGATTTTCTGCACTCTATCGTGGCTCAGCTTGCGAACAATGGTGGTGTTCATTTTAGAACTGACAATACGATAATACAATAAGAAAACATGATATCGAAAGGAAAAAGCTCTGTTGAGGCCATTGACATTGTAAAATATAGAATTTTCAGTATTCACGGCGTTGGTTTCCATTACGCCTTCTTTAGTTGACAAATAATGAACGGTCCCGGGCCCAGTGTCAAACAAAGGGGACAAGCGACAGATAATGAACGGTCCTCGGGCCCAAAAACAAAGGGGACAAGCGACACTAATTAATAACAGGCTATTTTCAGTGTTTGTCTTTAGAGGGAATTCATTTAAGTGTAAAGGCTGGATTTGAGCTCTGCTAAATCAAGGAGGTTATCCCTTTGGCCGAGGAGGTTTAACTTCATTGTTTTGGCTAAATCCCGACAACGAAAGCAATACGTCACCTAATGACATTTGTCAGCTGCTTAGGGTCGATTGGCACGGAAGTGCTAATTCCTTCACTGCTTTCGTGTCTCAGCTTGCAGTGTTCGTTTCTTATATCTAAACAGGATATCGAAAAAAGGGGGGAATTTCCACTGTTCACAGCGTTATTCTGTATTCATTTTTTTTCAGTACAAATGGACACATAAGTGTAAAACCTTTGTCTAGACGGACACAATTAGAGTTGTTTACGACCTTCCTGTCATAAAATAATCTGTTAAAACATCTCTTTTGTATCCTTTATTCACCGTATTTCACACGCACATGGTGACGCGGTTTCTGATATTGACAACGCGAAGAACACGATGCAGCTACAGGCCGGATGGGTATCGGAAAAGATCAAAGCCAGTTTTTCTTTAAGGTGACGTGAACGATGTATATGCATTCATAGTGCACAGAGCTAGCTCTATGACGCCAGTTCTATAGAGGTCATTTTTTTCTTGGAGGTGACGTGAACCAAGCATATGATCTCATAGGGCGTGGAGCTACCAAAAACAATGCCTCAGGGCTGTACTACTCACCTCCATGGAGCTGGCTCTATAGAGGTCAATTTCATTTTCTTGAAGGTGACG